CCCCCCCCCCCCCCCCACACATACTTACTGGCCAGACACTGCTCTCCAAAGCACAGGAAGCCCTTGCTCTCCAAGCGGTTGGGCTGCATTCCTGGCTGTGTGTGAGCTGTGGGCACGCACATGCACACAGCATTTATTGGTGACATTATTGGCCACACCAGCTAAAATAACCAGATTTTGCCAGTGTCAGTTTTCCTTTTATCAGTGCTGATCCAATATGAACCAATGTATCAGTGTACCTCTATTGTTAAATATTGACATTTCATCCATAAAGCTCTTAACAGATATGAATCTTCTTACCCTCATAGGTATGTGTGATGTACAGGTGTGCAAATTGATGCAAGAGAAGGAGTCTGTCAATGCTTGAATTGGAAGGGAGTTTCTGGCCCCCATTCATGTATCTGGATCACTCCTTTCCTTGGAAATCTGAGTTCATCCTGTAGACTTCCCAATTTCATCTAACTCAGTCTCTTTTAATATTTTAAAAGCTTATAGCTAAAATCAAGCCTCAGCTGACTCATGGTGGAGAAATCCAACTTGGGATAAGGTCAAATGTTTTTTCGTAGCTTTAAATGACAGAAGTGCAACTTCCTGTTACCTAGCCTTACTTTAAAGCAGTGGTTTTCAGCCTGTGGTCTCCAGACTCCTGGGGGTCCGTAGACTACATCTAAGGGGTTTGCAAAAGATGACTGATTGATCAAAAATGTGAATACCCACACCTACAATTCAGAGGGGTTGGCACCTCCATTCAAAATTTCGAAAGGGGTCCACAAGTGAAAAAAGGTTGAAAACCACTGCTTTAAAGAATTACCTTCAGCCAAGCATGCATAAGTAAAACTTGTGTTCCATTCACAGGCGTTATCGTTTCCACACCGACTGGTAGCACTGCTTATGCTGCTGCAGCTGGAGCTTCAATGATTCATCCAAATGTTCCTGCAATCATGATCACCCCAATCTGTCCTCACTCATTGTCCTTCAGACCCATTGTTGTCCCTGCAGGAGTGGAGCTCAAGGTTAGCTTTTGTTCTCCTTGTTCAAAGATGTAAATTGTTGGAGATAAGAACATTGGCCCAGGGAGCCCTTTCTTGTCCCTAAATCCAGGCCCCTCCATTTGCAGACAGCCATTTACCCAACATTTCCTCAGAATGACTATTTGAAACCTCACACACCACTACAGGTACAAAATGGGCACATCTACACAAGATGTTTACTGTGGAGCTGCCTAATTAGCTCCACAGTAATCATCTCAGCGTCCACACATGTAGCCCTATTAGACCACAGTAAACTAATAAACTCTGTCACAGGTTAGTACTTGTAAATACAAATACTAACCTGTGGCAGAGTTTTTTAGTGCATAGCAATGCACGTGTAAATGCTGACAGGGATGATGGGCACAAGCGTGCTTCAGTGTGGGGGCTGCCTCCTGGCTAGCCCCCCACTGGAACACCCTTGTGCCCATCCAGCCCCTCTGCAGCACATTGAGCTGGATCAGGGCAGCCTTAGACTGGCAGGCTGACCCCCTGGGCCCTCTGCTAGCTGGGGCTGCTCCAACCTGGCTCGACATCCTGTGGTCCTGGGTGCACGTTCAAACACAGAGCCCAGGAGCAATAAATTCTGGTGTAGTACATGCCAGGCTTATTGCTGTGAATTAATTGCACCTGTATATGTGCCCAATAAGAAGATAAATATTATAAGATTGACCAAAGCAAAGGACATAAAGTTTGTTTATTATTAGGCACCATGCCCATATGTAGAAAAATGGTTCTCAACCATATTGATTCGAGGCAGCACTCCGTAACTTTTGTGAATTAAGCAGCACCCCATTTCAAAAACGAATTTATTTATTACAGTGTTTAACTCCTTGCAGAAGTGTTGGACAGTGGAAGCAGGCCACCTGCCAGGCAAAGAAGAGCCTGAGCCTGCACTTATCTGTTCATCTCTGCTTATCTTCCTTGCGTCTCATAGCACCCTTTAAAAGATCTCAAGTCACCTCAGGGTGCCCCAGTACCATGGTTAAGAATCATTGATGTAGAACTGTCAGGAATGGGAGTTTTTGAGACTAGCAGATGTGAGCAGATATACTTATTTAGAAGGATGATAATCTTAATTGCATATAGTTTTTGCAAAAAAAAAAAGAAGCTCCCAACACTTGTCATGTCCAGTCTGTGCTCAGAGTGGATTTTCTTGTAATAGATATTAGCCACAAATAAATTTATTTCACTGGTTTTGTGTTTTTAATATTTTGCACAACTGTTTTAGTCTGCTAGTCTATATAATGGAGAAATCTTGGTGTTTTGTAAGGGTATGAGAAGTTTAAAAAGGATTTTTTTACCATTTGAATTGGTTGTTTATTCATGGTACCTACATCAAGCTACAGTTTATCTATACAGTTGGCAATATGGCAGAAGTCAATCATCTCAAGACAACTCATACCATAAATTGTTGACAAGTGGTCAGTTGGCTAAACAAATACAGTCAGTTGACCATTTATTTGACCATGGTCAGATACTGTTAAATACTCCATGAAGCCATAAATGCCCTTGTATAGGTGGTGGCCTACCGTTTTTTCCATCATGCTGTCATTTGTTAGCAAGGGGCAGAAGTGAGGGCTCCTTGCCTCCCAGTCCTGCAGGAGGCAAGGCACATATATCCATCACCCCCTTATCCCCTCTCTCAAGGAGCAGGCATCCTTGCCCTGAGCTCTTTCAGCCAATTCTCTCATTCCCTCCTCCCCTTCATTAAGCCATATGGGGCTGCAAGAGCTAACTCTGGGTTGAGGAGGCAATGAAAACCAGCAGCATGGAAAAGCTGACCTTTATAGTTTCTGTGTATGTTTCAATTTCATTTTTTCTTACGATTTGTAACTCTTTGGGCTGACCCTGACATTCCAGGATAAACGCCAAAAAGAACGGTTGAATTTTGTTCACACTTATATGTAAGCCATGTTGCTAGTTAAACTAATTTATTACAAGTTTTTTAAATTTATTCTAATTGTTTCACAGTAGCAGTCAATGATCTTGTTTTGTTAACGTAACTTACGTAATTAACATAGATATCTAACTTATTGAAGATTAGTCTCTCACTGTTCTAATAAATTAATCCTTACATTACTTGACACTTTTACAATATTTGACCAGCCAATTGACCAGGTATTTTTGACTCCTCAAATACCCAGGCCTCTTAAATTTGAAAGTTTTACATAAAGCCTACAAAGTTCTCACATCTGTATTTCAAAACACCAATCACAAAAGTCCACCCAGAAGTAAAACTAAAACTACTGATCTCATTGAATTAGGCAGTATGTTAACTCTTACATGAAGTTCAAGTCTTCTGTAACTGGAATGCCTTTATAGTAAATAACCTTACTAGAATTGTTAGGGAAGGCTTTGCTGTGCACATAACTGTATGCCTCCATTATATTTGCAATATGCATAATAAACTTATGTCCACAACCCTGTAAAACTTTCAGCAGAAAAAGAGATGAGTAGTTCTTGTCCCTCAATTCCAATAAAGTAAACCCTAGATGAGGCATGCAGACTTGATCATAATGATTTTTCATTGAAGAATAAGCCTGGAGGAAAAATAGCAAACTTCTTCCCAGCAACTCCCTCCGTCCCCATCCCCAATTCT